CATATCCCCCCCTTATGTATTATACATGGAGATCATATCCCCCCCTTATGTATTATACATGGAGATCATATCCCCCCCCTTTGTATTATTGGAGATCATATGCCCCCCTTATGTATTATACATGGTGATCATACCCCCCCTTATGTATTATACATGGAGATCATATCCCCCCTTATGTATTATACATGGAGATCATATCCCCCCCCTTATGTATTATACATGGAGATCATATCCCCCCCTTATATATTATACATGGAGATCATACCCCCCCTTATGTATTATACATGGTGATCATATCCCCCCTTATGTATTATACATGGAGATCATATCCCCCCCTTATGTATTATACATGGAGATCATATCCCCCCTTATGTATTATACATGGAGATCATATCCCCCCCCTTATGTATTATACATGGTGATCATATCCCCCCCTTATGTATTATACATGGAGATCATATCCCCCCCCTTATGTATTATACATGGTGATCATATCCCCCCCCTTATGTATTATACATGGTGATCATATCCCCCCTTATGTATTATACATGGAGATCATATCCCCCTTATGTATTATACATGGAGATCATATCCCCCCCTTATGTATTATACATGGTGATCATATCCCCCCTTATGTATTATACATGGTGATCATATCCCCCCTTATGTATTATACATGGAGATCATATCCCCCCTTATGTATTATACATGGAGATCATATCCCCCCTTATGTATTATACATGGAGATCATATCCCCCCTTATGTATTATACATGATCATATCCCCCTTATGTATTATACATGGAGATCATATCCCCCCTTATGTATTATACATGGAGATCATATCCCCCCCCTTATGTATTATACATGGAGATCATATCCCCCCTTATGTATTATACATGGAGATCATATCCCCCCTTATGTATTATACAGGGAGATCATATCACCCCTTATGTATTATACATGGAGATCATACACCCCCCTTATGTATTATACATGGTGATCATATCCCCCCTTATGTATTATACATGGAGATCATATCACCCCCTTATGTATTATACATGGAGATCATATCCCCCCTTATGTATTATACATGGAGATCATATCCCCCCCCTTAATCTCCTCAAGCAAGAAGGCAGGTAGTGCTTATGCCCCAAGTCAAGAAGAGGCCTCCGCAGTACATGAGAGTACTCCCATCCTGGGGCTTTCCTGTAGAAGAGAGGTAATAAAGGGCACTTTGTGGCACAATAGAAGAAATGCAAACGTACGGAAACCTACCTCATTGGCTGCAGCAGCCATAGGAGTTGGGTGGTTCACAGAGTCTCCCAGGGCGATGGCTAACCTCAGGTCTTTCTGGATATATTTCAGATAGAAGTCTGGTTTGAAATTCCCCTGTAGGATATCTGGGGGGGGGGGCAAAGAAAAAAACAAAAACAAAAACACAGATTAAATATACTGTGACCAACAAAAGAGCAGCTGAAAAAAAAGCAACTTCCAGATGTGTGTATCGACCGCAATCCCAAAAGGACGCGGCCAAAACAGCAAACCAACACAAAGAACAGGAGAATAGAGCAGGGATCCTTACTTTGGCACTTTTGGTCCAGAAAAATGTTGGCGAGCTGCCCCTGATTCAGGATGTCCAGCAGAGTCTGTTGAGATTGACCGGTCACCTGAGCCAATGTCATTCCTTCCGCTATCGTGGCCATAAAGCTGCCCTGGATCATGTTTAGGATCAGCATCATTCTGGCTGCATTACCTACTTCCCCTATGACAGACACAGTTACATAGTTAGTCTGGCTGAAAAAAAAGACAAAAGTCCATCCAGTTCAACCATTAAAAAAAAAAAAAGTTATAATCCTATACCCACAGTTGATCCAGAGGAAGGCAAAAAAAACCCAGCAAAGCATGATCAAATTTGCTCCTGCAAGGGAAAAAAAATCCTTCCTGATCCCCCAAGAGGCCATCGGATATTCCCTGGATCAACTTTACCTATAAATGTTATATCCAGTTATATTCTGTGTATCCAAGAAAGAATCCAGGACATTTTTAAAGCAATCCACTGAGCTGGCCACAACCAACTCTTGAGGGAGTCTATTCCACATTTTCACAGCTCTTACTGTGAAGAAACCTTTCCGTGTTTGGAGATTACATTTCTTTTCCTCCAGATGTAAAGAACGCCCCCTTGTCCTCTGTGATGACCTCAGGGTGAATAACTCTACACCGAGTTCACTATATGAACCACTGATGTATTTATACATGGAGATCATATCCCCCCCCCTTATGTATTATACATGGAGATCATATCCCCCCTTATGTATTATACATGGAGATCATATCCCCCCTTATGTATTATACATGGAGATCATATCCCCCCTTATGTATTACACATGGTGATCATATCCCCCCTTATGTATTACACATGGAGATCATATCCCCCCCCTTATGTATTACACATGGAGATCATATCCCCCCTTATGTATTATACATGGAGATCATATCCCCCCCCCTTATGTATTATACATGGAGATCCCCCCCCCCCTTATGTATTATACATGGAGATCATATCCCCCCTTATGTATCCCCCCCCTTATGTATTATACATGGAGATCATATCCCCCCTTATGTATTATACATGGTGATCATATCCCCCCTTATGTATTATACATGGTGATCATATCCCCCCCCTTATGTATTATACATGGAGATCATATCCCCCCATATCCCCCCTTATGTATTATACATGGAGATCATATCCCCCCTTATGTATTATACATGGATATCATATCCCCCCTTATGTATTATACATGGAGATCATATCCCCCCTTATGTATTATACATGGAGATCATATCCCCCCTTATGTATTATACATGGAGATCATATCCCCCCTTATGTATTATACATGGTGATCATATCCCCCTTATGTATTATACATGGAGATCATATCCCCCCCCCTTATTACATGGTGATCATATCCCCCTTATGTATTATACATGGAGATCATATCCCCCCCCCTTATGTATTATACATGGAGATCATATCCCCCCTTATGTATTATACATGGAGATCATATCCCCCCTTATGTATTATACATGGAGATCATATCCCCCTTATGTATTATACATGGAGATCATATCCCCCCTTATGTATTATACATGGTGATCATATCCCCCCTTATGTATTATACATGGAGATCATATCCCCCCCTTATGTATTATACATGGAGATCATATCCCCCCTTATGTATTATACATGGAGATCATATCCCCCCCTTATGTATTATACATGGAGATCATATCCCCCCCTTATGTATTATACATGGAGATCATATCCCCCCCTTATGTATTATACATGGAGATCATATCCCCCCTTAATCTCCTCTTCTCAAGAGAATAAATTCAGGAAGGCAATAGTTCTTGCAGGGTTGTTAAAGTGGCAAGTATCAGCTTTAAAGGTTGAAAGAAAATGCAAGCGATGACAGTGTAATGTAAATGTTCCTTAACAAAAAAAAAATACACACATTAGACAAAAAAACTAGCAAAGGATATGGCTGAGCTTTTTCAGCTTTAGATAAGGAAGGCTTAGAATTTTAGAGACATTGCTTCATTTCTTGACCGATACCTTCCATACAAACAGGAAGCAAGGACACAATAATGGAAATACATTTACTAGTAGTGTAAGAAAAAGGATTAGAGGACCCTCCATCAGGATTTTATTGATAAGAGTGCTAAACAAATGGCCCAGGAGCCCAATGTCTACTAAATACTGGTAATAATCCAATTCTGGGGCTCAAAGAGCTTCCACCTCCTCAGGGCTATAAAAAGGATATAAAAATGGTTGTGCAAACTCCTGTATTGGTTCATACTTTACATACTCTACACCGATTTATATTAAGATGCCTAAATTCATAAATATGCAGCTTTAAAAATGATAACAAACACAAAAAAAAACAGTGTAGGCAAAAACACTAAAAACACACAACAACAACAAACCAACACAACCTATAGATCACATAACAGAACAAAATCTATTTAAAAATAGATCAAAGTGTTCATAAATTCTATTTTTAGACTTTTAAATACAGGTAAGTTTATCTGTAGGCAAAATGAATATCTCCAAACCGTGTACCATGTAGGTGCTATTCTAGTGAGCACTTGTGAGTGTCATCACCTGCCGGTATCATCACCGGCGGACGTCATTCCTTCAGAGCGCTGCGCTGAGGCCGTAGGTCCCGCGCGCATGCGTGCAAGTGACGTCATTGCGGGCCGCAGCCCGGGAACCCAGAAGGGAAGATCGGGTGAAAATGGAAGCCTCTGTAGCAATAACAGCGCGTCGCTAGAGGGCTTTGTTTCAACGGAGGTCTTCCATGGCACCACCTGCCTGGAGTTTGAATGTTCTCCCTGTGCCTGCGTGGGTTTCCTCCAGGTACTCTGGTTTCCTCCCGTACTCTAAAGACATGCTGGTAGGTTAACCTCCCTAGCGGTCTGATTATGTCAGTATTTCTGTGCTTAAAGCGGTACATTTTTTTGCATGGAAATACGTCCTTTTTTTATTGTCGGCCTGTAATTCTTAGGAATAACTCACTGAAATCTGTCCGAACAAGAGTCTAGTAAACATCCCGGGTATGATAAAATTTGAAACACGAAATCAGAAATTATAATTTAATAAATAAGTCATAAAAAATAATAATATAATAATAATAAATTTAATTCAATAATATAATCAAACCAAAAACACTGAAATCTGAAATATAGCGCCAAGTTCGCACATCACTGAGCAAAGTTGCAGAATCGTTTTCAGTGTCTGATGATGAATTTCCCCCACGAATCATTATCACTCAATTCTGCAAGTGGTTCTGATTTACTATCGCTGTTCTCTAGCCGGTCAAAAACTGCTTTTGACCTAAAGGGACGCTTTTTGGACGCCATGGACGTTTCTCAGTTTCCAGGCAGAAAGAACAGTCAAAATGTAGGCAGGGCACAGGACAAAGCACTCGGGACAAAATGTATGTGAAATGGTTTGATACAGGAATGTTATACTATGTGATTTAAGTGTATTATTGAATGTCACTTTTTAATATTTTTACATTTTCCACCGGTTACGTCCAAGTGCGTCGCAGGGAACGGAACCCAAAAGACGGATGCCGGCATTGGCCGGAGGAGATGGCTGGGGACACTGCAGGAGGGACATCGTGGGAGCGCAGGACAAGGTAAGTGATCGAGGGATCCCGGAGCAATGCTGCATGGTATTCCTGAGTGTAGCTCGGGGTTACTGCTTGTGTGAATGCCCCTTGTGAGTGCTGAAACTTTACCCCGAGCTACACTCGGGAATACCGCCAGGGAGGTTAATTGGCTCCTGTCTAAACTGTCCCTAGTATGTGTATGTATGAATGTGAGTTAGGGACCTTAGATTGTACGCCCCTTGAGGGTTAGGGACCTTAGATTGTACGCCCCTTGAGGGTTAGGGACCTTAGATTGTACGCCCCTTGAGGGTTAGGAACCTTAGATTGTACACCCCTTGAGGGTTAGGGACCTTAGATTGTACACCCCTTGAGGGTTAGGGACCTTAGATTGTACACCCCTTGAGGGTTAGGGACCTTAGATTGTACACCCCCCTTGAGGGTTAGGGACCTTAGATTGTACACCCCTTGAGGGTTAGGAACTGATGTGAATGTACAATATATATGTAAAGCGCTGCGTAAATTGACAGTGCTATATAAGTACCTGTAATAAATAAATAATATTATGCTAGTATGCGATGCATACAAGCACAAAATGGCTCTACATTACAGGGGAAAAAAATCTTTTTTTTAGGTTTACTACCACTTTAAAATTATTTATATAAAATAATAAATCCAAACAGTGTAGTCATTTTGAAAATAAAATACATTGGGTATAAAAAAAAAACGCAGACGTTACATTCTAATATACATGTACTAGAACTTTTTCAGCACAATAAATAAAAGATTGTGGACTCCTAGACCATTTGTTTGAAGCTCACATTACACTTTGTACATGTGGATCTTCAAACGTGGTCCTCTCTACAAGTGGTACCCTGTCTTGGGTGAGAGGATCCCTGCTGGAGCTGTGCCATCTCTCAGTTTGATTGACCTACTGAACTTACTGAATTTAGTGCCTGATTTACAAGTACAGTATGATGGGGAGGTCTCTATACTGGAGCTCGCACACTTACACATCTCCTGTGGCCATTACAGGGGATTCCACTCTTCCTGTCATAGCTATCCTTCCACCCTTCCCAGAGAAATACTGACAATTCACATTTGGGTGGTTTGACCCTTTAACGTGTAAAATTGCTATTTTTTAACTTTACCGAGAAAGAAGGAGGTTTTTGCCATGGCCTGGAAGCAGCTGCTGCAGTCTTCATATACACCTTGATCGCCTGCTGCCAAGATCATCAACATCCCATCGTTGGATAACTGCTGGTTACCCGACACTGGAGCCTCTAGGAAACGACCCCCTCGAGACACGATAACCTGAATGTGGAAAAGTGACAGAAGTTATTGGGGTGTTACCATCAAAACTACAGGTTGAACAAGACTTTCAGATATAAACAGAAAGCCTATTGAAAAGCCAACATAAAAGTTGAGTCAGGCCTTTCTGTATGCCCTCCTAGCAGCATTAGATCATTTCCTGAGAGCTAGTGGACTAAATCTTAAAGAGGAACTCCAGCTAAAATCTGTTTATACTTTGGACAGATTTGGGAAAAAATGTGAACCTCTGTTGGTTTCTTACTGCAGACTGTGTTCCCATTAACAGTTGCGATTTAAGATAACTATGGTCAAAAGCTGATATATATATATATATATATATATATAGATATATATATATATATATATAGTTAGGTCCATATATACTTGGACACAGGCTTAATTGTCATACTTTTGGCTCTGTATGCCACCAGAATCAATTAAAACGAAACAATCCAAATGAATTTGAAGTGCAGAATTTAAGCTTTAATTTAAGGGGTTGAACATATATATCAAGTACATATTTTAGGAACTGCAACCATTTGTATACACAGTCCCTCCATTTTCAGGGACTCAAATGTAATTGGACAAATGAATACAATCATAAATAAAATGTTCATTTGTAATATTTTGATGAGAATCCTTTACTGGCAATGACTGCCTGAACTCTGGACCCCATGGACATTACCAAAGACTGTGTTTCCTCCTTTCTGATGCTTTGCCAGGCTCTACCTGCAGCTGCTTTCAGTTGTTCTTTGATTGTGGGTCTTTCTGCCTTTAGTTTTGCCTTCAGTAAGTGACATGCATGCTCAATTGGGTGGAGATCAGGTGATTGACTCGGCCGTTGCAGAATATTCCACTTTTCCTTCAAAGCTCCTGGGTTGCTTTTGCAATGTGTTATGGATCATTGTCCATCTGCACTGTGAAGCGCCGTCCAATCAACTTTGCTGCATTTGGCTGAATCTGGGCTGACAGTATATCTGTAAACACTGCAGAATTCATCCAGCGGCTTTTGTCTTCTGTCACATCATCAATAAACACCAATGACCCAGTGCCACTGGAAGCCATGCATGCCCATGCCATCACACTGCCTCCACCATGTTGTACAGATGACGTGTGCTTTGGATCATGAGCTGTCCCAAGCCTTCTCCACACTTTTTTATTCCTGTCATTCTGGTACAGAATCATTTTAGTTTCATCCATCCAAAGAATGCTTTTCCAGAACTGGTCTGGCTTTTTTAGATGTTTTTTGACAAAGTCTAATCTGGCTGTTCTATTCTTCAGGCATATAAAAAGGTTTGCACCTTGTGGTGAACCCTCTGTATTTGCTCTCATGAAGTCTTCTCTTGATTGTAGACTTTGACAATGATACGCCCACCTCCTGCAGAGTGTCCTTCACTTGTCTGGATGTTGGGAATGGGTTTTTCTTTACCATAGAGAGGATCCTGCAATCATCCACCACTATTGTCTTCCGCGGACATCCATGTCTTTGTATGTTGCTGAGCTCACTAGTGCGTTCTTCTTTCCTCAGAATGTACTAAACTGTTGATTTGGTCACTCCTAATATTGCTGCTATCTGTCTGATGGATTTGTTTCATTTTTGAATCCTTAACATGGCCTGTTTCACTTGCACGGACAGCTCCTTTGAATGCATGATGTAGGTTCACACAATAGATTCCAAATGCAAAAACCACACGAAGGCTACGTTCACACTAGCGTTGTGTGCAGGCGGCAGAGAGGCGTTTGGGAAGCGTTTTTACCGCTTCCCAAACGCCTCTGCCAATTCTGCACATTACAGCACACGTGCTGTTCTAACGGGAGCGCTTTGTGTCGCGTTGCGGCAAAACGGATGCCTCTGGTTGAGTCAGGAGGCGTTGAAGCCTCCTATTCTAGTCTATGGTGCCGCTCCGCAAACGCCCAGCCGGCGTTTGCGACGCGGTTGCGGGGCGTCTGCGGAGTGGTAACACCAAACTGCATTATAGGCGTTTGTGGGGCGATTTTAATGCTCGGCAAACGCCTAGCAATCGCCACTAAACCGCGCATGCGGCGTTTGACAAGCGTTTTTTAACGCCGGACCAACGCTTGCCAAACGCTATAGGGGCATTTGGCAATAACGAAGGAGTAGCCCACACCTGGCCATGAAATAGCTTTTGATTCAATTGTCCAATTACTTTTGGTCCCTTAAAAAAGGGGGGATGGCTGCTCTTAATAACTATAAAACTATAACTACGGTATCAACCAAAAATAAATATACTATCAATAATACCCTCTAACATATAAGATCTAACTTTCACCCTTGAAAGTGCAAACCAATATAAAAATTCCAATATGTTAAATAAATATCCCTAAACACATATGCTTATATACATATAGTGAACCCAAACAATCATAAAATAAATCCCAACAATAACCAATACATATAAATAAAATTAAAATGCAAAGAAATATATAAAAATTCCAAAATATTATCCAAATTGTAAGTCACTCGTGTCCAAAAAAAAAAAAAAAAATATATATAAATTAAAGTCACTCCAAAAAAACTTTGTGTCCAAAAATATGCAACTTATCAGATCCTTTAGTGCCGAGCCCCTCCAATGACTCCCAAAAGGAAAGAATGTACCTCAAAAGAAAAAAAACTCATATAGTGCATTAACTTAATAAATTTAATATCATACCCATGTACCATATGCACTTGTGCAACTGTGAAAAAATTTATAAAAGTGAAAATTGTGAACACTGTAAAACGTGATAGTGCGTCACTCTGTGAATACAATAATCCAAGTGACCATACAGTGTACACTTCTATAGTGTAAGGCATATATACCCTTACCAAAAAACAAAAGAAAAAACGCCTTATCAATATTGCAGAGATCGGCAGCACGCTCCCACAACTTTCCTCCAAGCCTGAAAAGTACTCCATAAGATGTCATCCACCACATTCTTCTAGATGTCACCATGGCTTTTAAGGAAGTACTCCATAGTACTCAAAAGTACTCATGCTCCATGCGAGTGATATATGAATAAAATATATAGTGTAATTCCATTTCACAATTAAAACACATATACTTTATTAACTGCTTACAATAAAATATCCAAAAAGCATATTCCCATGCCCTTCAAGCCTCTAGGGTCACCGAGCAACTTCCAAAATGTTTGACATGTGAATTTTCCACTATCAAAAGATGGCCGACACGCCACTTCCAGTTCCTCTCCTGTGCGTCTGACGTCACTTCCCTTGACGCGTTTCGTCACATCCGGGACTTAGTCATAAGGAATGTATTCATCGGACCAACCAGCCGCAATCTATAGCTCTCCTCCCCACAGCTCCGGCCACCATCAGAGCCTCCAACTTATTTATATTGAATAGTAAATAAGCTGTCAGTTGTTAAACAAGTCTGTTTTGCTAAACACGGCAAGGAGGTCAGTAACGTACCTGAGATCCTGACAGCTGAGGGCCTAAAGGTCTATCCTCCAATAGGGTCCTTCCTAGCAAGAATTTCGTAGAAGGTAAGTCGCTGCTTTCCCTTCATACAACTGTTCCTAATTAGTCTACAGCAGGGCTATATCAGGGTGGGGTGCTGAAATTGTGGTGTTTCTTAAGAAGCCCTGGCTCTTCAATCAGCATATAGAAGATGCTTTGGCCTTGCTCCCTCTACACCTTTCAGACGTGCCTATTCCCCCGCCCACATACCTGAAAATGGGTGCAATTCGCACAGGACTTGAGCAGTTGTTAATCTAGGCTAGTCCCACAATGCACCCCTTTGAGCATCAGTATTGGGACCACCTCAGCTGAGACATGGAAGGGTTCTGGGTATTTACTAAAGGTAGGAATCATTTTAATAATGAAACTTCGTTATAC